AAGTTGGTTGAGGTTTGCTAATCTTGCTGTGTGCGCCCCCTTTTGTTTTTGTGCAATTCCCCGGATATGCTTTTCCTATATTTTTTCTTAGGGCCTTTTTAAAAGTTTTTTCGCGAGTGCCTATGGGGGGTATGTATTTTTTGTAAACCCATTCTCGCAGCTAGTGGGAAAAATGTTAAATTGTCATTCCCTATTTTTCCCGCCCCTCGTTGATGATGATGGTATAGTAATGTTCATAAGGTAATGGATAGCGAGGAGGGATACAAGTAGTGATTCCACCCACTATACATTACACAGAATTTCTACGTAACGGTGCTTTTATCAAATAAGTCAACCTAAACCATTATTATAGTTAAATTTTCTTTAAATTTTTAAAAAAATCCCCCGTAGCCCCAATAATGTTAGAAAAACGCGAAGGGAAATTTAGATGAAAAATTTTCCCCTTTTGCAAAAAATTTTAATTGTGTGAGAAAAAAAGTACTATCCCAGGGCTTCTCTAATGAAACAAAACTCGTATAAACTTTCTGTCCTTAGTTGTAATATTGCAATACTTAGGAAAAGATTTCCTGACCTTCACCATAAAGTAACTACTGAATCCATTCATGTGTGTCTACATGAGTGCAGAGTCCCAGAAAAATCCCAATCCTTACCCTCAATTACCCCAATTTGTTACATATAGTAGTGTGAAAATTAATTGGGACCGAGTAATTATGTTGGGACAGGAGTAAATTATGTGATAGTCTCATAATATGTCTTAGTCTTCCCGGCTTAATGTAGTTTGGGTTTCTTCTTTTCAGTTTGCTACCGACTTCTGGCAACCATCTAGCTTTGGCATTACCCTGCCACTTTTATCAGTGCTACAGCAGCTGTTGCTCTGTAAGGCTATTCCTGGAAGCTTACTCAGTTAATGTGGTTTTTGCCAAATTCCTCCCTTCAGTTCTTGATTACTGATGAAATTCATGATGGATGTTACACCTAGGAATCGTGCAAGTATTGTAGCTCTTAGAAAACATGCTGGTTTGAGTTTCAGACAGATCGCCGAAAATTTGAGCCTAGCAAAGTCAACTGTTGGTCGGATTCTAAAGAGAGCTGACGACATTAGTGATTGTGAAGGATACCAAGAAAACCTGCAAAGATCTACAGAGATTTGGCTTTAGCTGGCATGAATGTTGATTCTTCAACATTCTGATGAAGGCTCCTTGAAGTTCCCAGTAAAGAAACAATTATTAACTGCTGCCATGAAGAAAAACCAGCTGCGGTGGGCACTCAATCATAAGAGATGGATGACATATGAATGGGTGAAGATCAGTGGTAGTGAGACAGCAAAGGCGAACCTCTTCGGAATGGACACATTTAACAAGCGCTAAAACACCCACCTAAGATGTTTTGGGGTAGTTTTACTGCTAAAGGCCCTGGACAGCTTGTTATTGTTGAGGGGGCGATGAACAATGACAAATACAAAGCAATCCTAGCAACTCTTGCTTCCCATTGTGGTTAGACTTTCCTGATGGAGAAGGCATTTTCCAGCAAGCAGGATCTTGCTCTATGCCACACTTTCAGAAAAATGCTAAAATTCTTCGAAGAGAGTGGGCTAAGTGTTCTAAACTGGCCTGGAAACTCTCCTGGCCTCAACCCAATTGAGGATCTATGGGCAACAACCAAACACAGGACATCGAAACAACTGTTCACCTATGGAGAAGCTGAATGTTGTTGTTATTAGGACCTGGTACCATGACGAACTTGCCATAATGTATACAACATTGGTCGATTCTATGCCAGAGCGTGTAGCAGTGCTTGTAAAAGCAAAGGGGAGTCATATTTCTTATTGAATCAGTTATGATTATGTGTCAAATCTGTGGAAAATACTGTATATATTTTCCAGAAATACAGTAGTTATATGTAAATAGATGGCCATACTGTATTTAATAAAAATTGTAAAAAATGGGAAACTGCGCCTGCGCAGAGAGGACTTGCCATTGTGTTTTGAATGAGTCAAGAAAACGTTAGTGAAAACAAGAGAATTTTCGTGCTCTAGAGGTTAAAATTGGGCTGACACCTCTCAAATAGGAGACGAAATTGTTGGATGTGCATTCCTGCATAACTTGAGATATCAGGCGACTGGACAAGACGGCTCCAGAAACCTCAGATAAGCTATTTAGATTTGTGTTATAATTCTGGCCAATATTTTCATAAATTTAGTTAATGAGGTTTTCTGAGTATGATACACCTTAATCTCCAGTCAAATTGGTGAGTGATTTTAAGATATTCTCCCTCTGTTATATAAATGTGTATATATAATCATTTTTTAATTTTAATATACAGTTCACAAACTTATATATTTACCAGAATTCTTGTTGATGCATCTTTCATTTGTAATTAATAGGTCTAGAGCAACTTGTGGATAAGACAGTTGTAGGTATCGAAGGGGGACATTTTTGCGACCTAGGTGTCCCAAATTCCTACTTGTCTATGTAACTGATAAATAATAATTATCTTTGTTATCATTTACTGTTATGTACATAATAAGTTACATTCAGATAAATGTAATTTTCCACAATATCATTGCCATGTATTTTTCAAATAAACATTAATTTTCCAAATAAATGTGTGATTTCATCACCGTCCCAGTTAATATGCACACTACTGTATAACCTCAAATCTTGTATTTTATATATTAAAAAAATAGTTTCCTCATCAATTTCTTTCAGTTAATTAAGAAAACTAAATGGCATCAATATCATGGTGTTAGGATTAATACAAGGAACTCTGCTCTCAACATATTTAACTTGTATACTCCTGCTGACAATTTTTTAATTATGTGGAGATTCCAACTTATGTTCAGTCAGATGCTACTCGTGTTGTTGGAGATTATAATGCAAGACACAAAAGCATCGAAAACTCATACTTTAATAATCGCAATGATAACAACTTTAGTCATCACGATGTGCAAATTGTAGGCGACCTTGAACCCACATTATATATATCTATGTAGGCATCCTTAATTTGTATCGTGACTTCAGCATTACATTTGCCAGCTGTGAATATTCCATTTTAACAGATATATCAGATAAGTTTCCCTGAATAACCACTATCAACAATGGTAATACATGGACTGCAGTCCAATACTTGACTTGACAGGCCCGGTGGCCTGGTGGCTAAAGCTCCCGCTTCACACACGGAGGGCCCGGGTTCGATTCCCGGCGGGTGGAAACATTCGACACGTTTCCTTACACCTGTTGTCTTGTTCACTAGCAGCAAAAGGACCTGGTGTTAGTCGACTGGGTGGGTCGCATCCTGGGACAAGATTAAGGACCCATGGAAATAATTGACGCTCGAGACGCACTGACTTTTGGTTATCTGGGTGGCTACCTCCGGGTTAAAATCCGAACGAAATCTTATCTTATCTTAAAGGCCACTAAAGGTGCAAAATGTTATCAATAAAGATTCTCATTACACTGTGTGTGTGTGTGTTTCCATTCTCTTTACCACTCTGACTTGTTTAGCTGTCAAAACTTTGTGATCCAGTCCCTAGACCCATTATGTGCCCCTGTAATTTTTTGGTTACCACCCAAACCATGGGTATGGCGTGCATAATAAATTTATTAAACCGTTAAATTAACCTCGTTGAAGATTTATTACGGCCTATTTTTATAATGAACCCATTTGTAGTAAAATACACGTTTTAATATATGTACTTATGTAAGATTTCGTTCGGATTTCTAACCCCGGAGGGTTAGCCACCCAGGATAACCCAAGAAAGTCAGTGCGTCATCGAGGACTGTCTAACTTATTTCCATTGAGATCCTCAACCTTGTCCCCCAGGATGCGACCCACACCAGTCGACTAACACCCAGGTACCTATTTGCTGCTAGGTGAACAGGACAACAGGTGTAAGGAAACGCGTCGAAATGTTTCTACCCGCCGGGAATCGAACCCGGGCCCTCCGTGTGTGAAGCGAGAGCTTGAGCCACCAGGCCACCGGGCCTGGGAGTGGCCCGGTGTTGAAAAATACACAGCGTTTAGAAACTAAGGTTGAACACCACATCAAAACACTGACAATATGATGTTTGTCTGTGATATTCAAGTGTGATGTGTCTGTGATGTTCAAGTGTGATGTGTCTGTGATGTTCAAGAGTGATGCGTTTGTGATGTTCAAAAGTGATGTGTCTGTGATGTTCAAAAGTGATGTGTTTTGATGTTCAAGTGTGATGTGTCTGTGATGTTCAAGTGTGATGTGTGTGATGTTCAAAAGTGATGTATCTGTGATGTTCAAAAGTGATGTGTCTGTGATGTTCAAGTGTGATGTGTCTTGTGTTCAAGTGTGATGTGTCTGTGATGTTCAAGTGTGATGTGTGTGATGTTCAAAAGTGATATGTCTGTGATGTTCAAGAGTGATGTGTCTGATGTTCAAAAGTGATGTGTCTGTAATGTTCAAGTGTGATGTGTCTGTGATGTTCAAAAGTGATGTCTGTGATTTTCAAGAGTGATGTGTCTGTGATGTTCGAGTGTGATGTGTCTGATGTTCAGAAGTGGTGTCTGTGATGTTCAAAAGTGATGTGTCTGTGATGTTCAAGTGTGATGTGTCTGTCATCAAGTGTGATGTGTCTGTTATCATGTGATGTACTCACCTAATTTTGGTTGCAGGGGTCGAGACTCAGCTCCTGGCTCCTGTCATCAAGTGTGATGCGTCTGTCATAACGTGTGATATGTCTGTTATCAAGTGTGATGTGTCTGTCATCAAGTGTGATGTGTCTGTCATCAAGTGTGATGTGTCTGTCATCAAGTGTGATGTGTCTGTCATCAAGTGTGATGTGTCTTTCATCAAGTGTGATGTGTCATCAAATGTGATGTGTCTATGATCAAATGTGATGTCTGTCATCAATTGTGATGTGTCTGCCATCAAACTGTGATGGTGTCTGACAAATGGTAACTAATACTACTACACCGTTGTATATACCAGCAATGAAACATCAAATACAATCATAAATAATTGTACTCACAATTCTGAGGTCATTTTTGGCATAGACCACAACTGAAAGGTTTCTTGTTGCCATGGTAGCAGCAGGAGGTGTGGACAGCAGCAGGAGGAGGTGTGGACAGCAGCAGGAGGAGGTGTGGACAGCAGCAGGAGGAGGTGTGGACAGCAGCAGCAGGTGTGGACAGCAGCAGGAGGAGGTGTGGACAGCAGCAGGAGGAGGTGTGGACAGCAGCAGCAGGTGTGGACAGCAGCAGGAGGAGGTGTGGACAGCAGCAGGAGGTGTGGACAGCAGCAGGAGGGTAGGAGGTGGTGTGGGCAGCAGTGGGAGGTAATGTGGGCAGCAGCAATACGTAGTGTGGGCTGTTAAGATGTGTGAGTGTCAGACAACAACTATTATCTTCCAAACCTTGACCAACTCTGGCTTAGACTTTATCTTGTTGAGAAAGTGCAACATTACGCCTTTCTTTCTCTCTTCTACTTGAGCTTAAGTTTTGTTTATATTGTTGCAACCATCTTTGTGTATAAATATATACCAAATTCACAAGAAAAGTTAAATTAAGTTTGTGTTATTGTAGTGAAGCGACGTGTTGAAATAAGAGTGATGGGTGTCGGGTGCAGCGACCAGCAACCTCGATAACATACACAATGTAATTCATTTATGTGAAAGTTGTCATCTATCAAAGAGAATTTATAAAAAAACCTTCTTGTTTGTAATAAGTATATATAACTACAAATATAGATAACAAAAAAAAAAAGGCACAGTACCGCGACTGGAATGATATACAAATAACTCGTACATAGAGAAGAGGAGCTTACGACGACGTTTCGGTCCAATTTGGACCATTTACAAAGTCACACTAACAAAAAGGAGAGGAGGGAGTATATATATATGCCAGGAGGTGGTAGTGTTAGTAGTGGAGGTAGAAGGTAGTACTGGTGGAGGTAGTAATGGTAGTGGTGGAGGCAGTCAGATACTAAGAAAGAGGAGCACTGCAAGGCAGCTAGGGGCCCACAGAGGGTAGGAGCAAGAACACAGAGGGGGGATAATGAAGGAACAAATACCCATGACATAAGAAAGACAACCCAAAGGAGAAAGAGAAAAGGGGAAGAAGGAGAAGAAGAAAAGGGAATCTGGTTAAGTCACGGGTCTTCGAAAGTTAGTGTGACTTTGTAAATGGTCCAAGTCGGACCGAAACGTCGTTCTAAGCTCCTCTCTTCTATGTGCGGGTTATTTGTGTACAAATATAGCATTGATGCCCAACCTGGCTGTATAATGTCTCAAAAATGTACACACGCTTTTGGAACGCAGGCGAGAAAGATATGTGACAATATACACTTGGAAGAAGGACTAGTCCCAACTCTTCACAAGAAAATCACTCCTTACGAAAGCAAAAGACTTGGCAGGAAATGCAACATCCTCCCAATGAAAAGCAGGGGCGCCACTACCAAGCCGAGTACGCTAAGAGACAACACAATAAGTGTCAGGGGCCCAAAACTGTTCAACTGCCTCCCAGCATACATAAGGAAGATTATTAATAGAACCCTGGCTGTCTTCAAGAGCGCTGGACAGGCACCTAAAGTCTGTACATAACCAGCCGGGCTGTAGCTCGTACGTCGGTTTACGTGCGGCCAGTAGTAACAGCCTGGTTGATCAGGCCTTGATCCACCACGAGACCTGGTCACGGACCGGGCTAAGTACCTTATATTGTTGTGCAAGAAAGGTATAAAATACCGACAATATGAAAGTTAAGACACATGTGCAACATCTGGATATCTTTATTGTAGTAGACGTTTCGCCATCCAGTGGCTTTATCAATACAGATTCTAGGACATAATAGGAAGACAGTAGAACTATATACAAAAGATGAGGTAATCAGTCCCTCGGCCTTGGAGTTAGTGTTCACAGCATCGTGGTGGAGGAGAGTCTCCTCCACCACGATGCTGTGAACACTAACTCCAAGGCCGAGGGACTGATTACCTCATCTTTTGTATATAGTTCTACTGTCTTCCTATTATGTCCTAGAATCTGTATTGATAAAGCCACTGGATGGCGAAACGTCTACTACAATAAAGATATCCAGATGTTGCACATGTGTCTTAACTTTCACCTTATATTGTTAATGCATTAAATGACTTATTACGTTTTCCTGTTCTCTCCCACATTCTTGTCTCTTCTTTCTGCTAGAACTTTCATTCTCTTTTGAATCTACAACTACTGCTAATAATAATAAGGGCAAATGATGGAAGCTTATATTATTAACCGAGAGAATTGCCCCAGTTTTGTGACTTAGGGTTTTGCTTTCCTTCAGCCTGTGGGAGTACAGTCAGTATGGATTTATACAATGACGTAATCATAGGCTGGGCTTGGAGTGCCCATTGCAAGTTGTGGTAAAAAAAATGGTTCAATAATTCATCTGCAGAGAATGAGGTAGAATGAATATACTCAAACTGCTAGTAGGAGACTAGCAATGCCTTAGCGTACGTAATAAGGCAAATAGATTATTGGGATTTATATCAAGAAGTGTAAGCAACAGAAGTCCAGAGGTTATACTGCAGCTTTATACATCATTAGTAAGGCCTCACCTTGATTATGCAGCTCAGTTCTGGTCTCCATATTACAGAATGGACATAAATTCGTTAGAAAATATTCATCGTAGAATGACCAAGTTAATACATAGCATTAGAAATCTTCCTTATGAAAAAAGATTGAAGACTCTTAAATTACATTCACTTGTTAGACGAAGAATGAGGGGAGACATGATCGATGTGTATAAGTGGAAGATGGGTATTAATAAAGGGGATATTAATAAGGTCTTGAGAATATCTCTCCAGGAGAGAACCCGCAGTAATGGATTTAAATTAGACAAGTTTAGATTTAGAAAGGGCATAGGAAAGTATTGGTGTGGAAATAGGGTAGTTGATGAGTGGAACAGTCTACCTAGTTGGGTTATTGAGGCTAGGACTTTGGGTAGTTTCAAATTTAGGTTGGATAAATATATGAGTGAGAGGGGTTGGATTTGAGTGGGACTTGCAAATGAGTGGATCGAGTTATCAGAGCTTATTTCTTGGGTAGCATTGAAAATTAGGTTGGGCAAATGTTTTGTTAGTGGGAGGGATTGTAAAGGACCTGCCTAGTATGGGCCAACAGGCCTGCTTCAGCGATCCTCCTTTCTTATGTTCTTATAAGACGAGGGGATGGTCGACTGTAAGTGTGAGTAGTAACAAGAAGATATAAATGATCACTGTTATGAAGATCAGGTACTACAGACCAATCAGAATCAAACACTGTAGAAGAAGAGCGTATAGAGAAATCTATACAGGGAAGGGAATAAGTGAAAAGATTTAAACGTGTGGCAATATCTGTGTTTAAGAGCTGTACTGAAGAAAAGTGAAAAATGCTACGAGAGCCACAGTAAGACCCTTCCCTAGCCAGATAATGACTCATTAATGGTTAATCATCCACTGGCTTACAGAAGGTCAATTTCCACCCCATTTTAAACATAAAGAATCATCGTATAGTAATGACCTAAGCTAATAAGTAGAAGTGTGTTTAGCTCTAAAGATAAGATAATTTCCCTGCTTATTTTATCAGCCTGTGAACCGGTGAGAGAGAGTTATCAGGGCGTGTGGAGAGGTGCTCTGTATCTGTGTGTGGGAACTCTAGACTCAGCGTGAGGCAGCAGTGCATGTCACACACCATTAACTTCTCACATGTACACACTTGCCTAACATAATGTAACCTGGGCAGTACTCACCACACCATAAATCAACCTCTTACGTGTACATTTACCTAACATAACATGACTTCCTTGTACCTAACAACATGACCCCAGTACCTAACATAACATGACTCCGTTGTACCTAACATAACTCCTGTACCTAACATAACATGACTCCCGATTGTACTCGTTTTTCATTTTATCCACATATTTTATTTGTGCTATAGCCTGGGTTCTAATACAGTGTGGACTGAGGGAGCTGAAGCTAAGTAAGTTTATTCAGGTATATTCAGATACATGTATGCTATCATACATAGAAGCATATGTGTAGAGAACCTAGGATAACCCCAAAAAAGTCATACGAAGTGACTTATTTCCATTGGTGTCTTTCTGATAAGTATTATTTATATTTAAAAGTTAAAAATAGGTAAGTATCTTAATTATGTAAAAGTAGTTAAAATAAAAAGATATACTAGGGAAGAGGTAAAATAGGATCAGATTATAGTACTGTGTAAAGTCTGAGGCAGCTACAGTGAAAAGCTCTGTTCCACAGGGCACAGTACTCTCTCCCATGCTTTTCCTCATCCTCATATCCGACATAGACAAAGATGTAAGTCATAGCTCCGTGTCTTCCTCTGTGGATAATAATAATAATAATAATAATAATAATAATAATAATAATAATAATAATAATTTTATTCACTACAAGTACATGTACAAGGTATACATGACATACTGACATACTACTATGTAGAAAGCCGATGTTATGCAGAGCATTTCGGGCAAATTAAAGTTTTTTTCCCAAGATGCAACCCACACCAGTGGACTAACACCCAGGTACCCATTTTACTAATGGTGAACATATACAACCGGTGTAAAGAAACACGCAAAATGTTTCTACCCTAGCTGGGAATCGAGCCAAGACCCTCGCCGTGTGAAGCGAGAACTTTAGTCACCAGGCCACGGGGCCACGAACACCCGAAGACACCCGAATTGCCATGACAGTGTCCTCCATCGAAGACACCGCAAAACTTCAAGCGGACATCAACCAAATCTTCAAATGAGCCACTCAAAACATTATGAAGTTCAATGAAGAGAAATTTCAACTACTCAGATATAGAAAACTTGAGGAAATTATACAATAAATTATAACCACACAATAGGGCGAAAAAACTTATGTGAAGGACCTATGAGTGATAATGTCAGAGGATCTCACCCTCAAAGACCACAACAATGTATCTACCTCATCTGCTAGAAAAATGATAGGATGGATAATGAGAATCTTCAGAACTAGGTACGCCAAGCCCATGATGATTCTCTTAAAATCGCTTGTGCTCTCTAGGCTGGAATACTGCTGTACACTAACTACCCCCTTCAAGGCAGGCGAAATTGACTGACTGGAGAGCGAAACGTTTCGAAATAAAGATACCTAACTGTTGCATACGTGTCTTACCTAATGACCTGGAGAGTGCACAGAGAACTTTCACAGCATACATAAGTACGATCAAGTACCTATATTACTGGGAATGGTTGAAGTCCCTTGATTTGTATTCCTTGAACGCTGGCGAGAAAGATACATAAAATACACTTGGAAAATCCCTGAGGGATTAGTACCAAACTTGCACACGAAAATCACTCCATACGAAAGCAAAAGACTCGGCAGGAGATGCAACATTC